CGGGGCAGCAAGTCCGATTCGACCCTGTCTTCCGCCGCAGCACCGCGCAAAGCACGCTCAAGGTGGTTGTCACCAGTCAGGGGACAGGCGCAGCAATTGCCATGGCCAGCGTGTCGCTCAATGGATTGGTTCGCAACACCAATGCCAAAGGCGAAGCCGCTTTTGATGCAGGTGTAGTAGCGGGCGACAACACCGTCACGGTGTCTGCCAGCGGTTTTGATACCCGCATCCTCACCATGAACGTGCAAGGCCATCACACCATCACGCTGCCTGTGACGTTGACTGCGCAAAGCACAAACCCTGGTCAAACGGTGCTGCAAGGCATCGTGTCGGATGCCGCCACAAGGCTGCCCCTGCAAGGCGTGACTGTGGTTGTGGATGGAACAGGCCGCACAGCCACCACAGATGCTGCTGGGCGGTACTCCATTGGCGGTGTGCCGGACATCGCTGGCTTGCGCACTGTGTCCATGCAGAAGACGGGCTATCAGCGGTTCGAGCAAGCCATCACGCTGGTGCAAAACGGTACGCACCAGTTTGACGTGCCATTGAATCCCAGCGTTGATCTTCAGCAACCCATCTCTATCAAGGCCTCCGTTACGGACAAGGTCACCCTCCAGCCCATTGCGGGTGCAACGCTCACCCTCTCTGGCAGCAACCCGCATGTGGTGCAGACCAATGCGCAAGGTGTGGCGGAAATCTCTGGCCTGAATGCGGGAGCCACGCAGGTGCAGGTGTCTGCGCAAGGCTATGACAACGTGGCTTTTGCCGTGGATTTGGCGGCGGGCACTCGCTATGTGCTGCCGGTAGAACTGAGCCCCAAGGTGCAAGGGCAAGACCGTATTCACGGAGTGGTGCTGGATGCCCAGAGCCAACGCCCGCTGGCCGGGGCCAAGGTGGTTCTGGCTGGCGTCAGCTTGCTGGAGACCACATCAGGCGCTGATGGCCGATACGAGTTTGCCAACATCACCCCAGGCCGCTGGAACCTGGTCGCAAACGCTCCAGGCTATCAAGGCAGCAGCAGTGGCTTTGACATTGCCACGAGCACAGTCATCAACCTGCCGTTGAAGCCGGACTTTGGCCTGGATGCCAACAACACGCTGCGGACTGTAGCTGTGGGGCATCCGAACTATTCCACTGCGGCCATCGGATACATGTTCATCTTTGGCGAACAGGGCACAACAGGCCAGGTGCTGAGTAACGACGGCGCCATCAACTACAGCTTTGTCATCGGCGCCAGTGGCGTGGCAGAACTCATGGTGCCCAACGACCAGTTTCTGCACGAAGCGGGCAAGGTGGTGGACAAAGCCTTGCAGGTGTATGCCAGCAAAGGTGTCAGCGCGTATTTCTTGAACCGCGAGATGTACACCACGGACATGTCGTATCTGCTTGATGCCACGGCTTTGGGGCAGGAATACCGCATCGTCGATTGGAACTACGCTTACAGCGTGATCCAGTTTTCGCTGACGGCGGTGGAGGACGGCACGGTAGCCACCATCACGCCAGCCAGCAGCCTGACGACGGGTCAACCTGCCAATGTGCCTTTTGACGTGACCCTGCAAAAAGGCCAGTCGGTGATTTACACCGCCTACTCCGGTAATGAAATCACCGGCACCCACATACAGACCAACAAACCCGTGGCCGTGTTCGCAGGTGGGCAATGCGCCAACGTGCCTGTCAACGCCGGGTACTGTGACCATTTGTTCACCCAGTTGCCACCGGTGAAACACTGGTCTGCGGAGTACGTGGCGCCCAAAACGGCCAACACGGGCGCTGCGGGCAACCTTGTCCGCATTGTGGCCAACACCGCTGCTACCCAAGTGCGGGTGAATGGAGCCCTGGTGGCCACTCTCAACGCTGGGGAGTTTCATCAGGTGACTGATGCAGAGAGCCTCCACATCGTTGCCTCTGCGCCCGTGCTGGTGGGGCAGTTCCTGAAGGGGTCCACGATCACCACCGGAGGGGTGCTGGGTGACCCCGCATTCACTTATGTGGGCGGCATCGACCAGACCCTCTCTGACTATGTTTTCACGGCGCCAACCAATCTGTCGCCATACACAGAAAATTACCTGAACATTGCGATTCCAACCTCTGCGTTGAACACCCTTGAGCTCAACGGTGTTGCGGTGAATGTTTCGGGCTTCACGCCCTTGGGTACCAGTGGCTACAGCGTGGGCCATGTCGCGATCCCAACCGGCCCCGGGCGCATCAAGGCAACCAAGCCGTTTCTGGCCACCATCGCAGGTTTCAGCCAGGACGACAGCTATCTGACCATCATCGGTGCCAAGTACTCGGCGGGTGCATCACCCGACGATATCGTGGCGCGTGTCAGTGCCAGCACCGACAAGCCTTCCTACCCGGCTGATACGGCGGTCGAGTTGGGCGCTTCTGCGGTCAACTTGGGTACTACACCCGCAGCGTTGTCGCTGGTACTCCGCATCAACGACTCCAGCGGGGTAGAAGTTGCCCGGTTTGCCGCCCACGACCTGGGCGCAATGGCTGCGGGCGCAACGGTATTGCATACCCAACCCTGGAATACCGCGCGCTTCCCAGCGGGTGCCTACACGCTGATGGCCACGCTCTTGGGCACGCAAGGTGAAGTTGTGGACGTTGGGAGCACCCTCTTCACCATCACCGCCGGTTCCGCACAAGGTGCAGGCAAGGCCGCACTGACCGTGGCGGTGGACAAGGCCGAATACGCACCCAACGACCGCGTTCGCATCAGCAACCTGGCCCGCAACCTCACGGTGAATGCGCCGGTAGACAACGCCCGGGTGCGCATCACCGTGCGCAACCCGCAGAACGCGGTGGTCTACACCCATACCCATCTGCTCGGCCAACTGCAGGCCAACGGCCTGCGGTCTACCGATACCCAGCAGACGCTTAAAACCGCGATGGAGGGCACCTACACGGTAGAAGCCGTACTCATCGGCAGCGGCAACAACCTCAAGTCGGCAACTGCGCTTCCCACCGGCCAGACCAAGGCCTACGACGTGGATGTAGACCTGGCAACAGCCACCACCACTTTTGCAGTGCGGGCCAACGCACCCGGCGGGCCTGGCACCCCTGGTGGCCCGGGTGGCCCCGGTACGCCCGGCGTGGCCAACCCCATCCCTGTCAACCAGCCGTGGTTCCTGTGGCTCGTTGCCGTGCTGTTGGCAGCCGCAGCAGTGCAGCCGCTGCGGGCGGTTGCCCGCCCATCCAGCCCCGCACGCCAGCGCGGAGGTTTGCAATGAAGCCATCGCCACACCCCGCTGCCACCACGATCACCCCCCAATTGAATTTGAGAGAGAAAGCCCCCATGCGCCCATCGCAGGCCCCCGAACACGAGCACTCCCGCAGCCACCCCACCCATCCCACCCCGCAGCACCGCCCGGTCGGCTGGTTCAAGCGCACGGTCGTGTGGTTGCTCACCGCGTCGGTGCTCAACACCGTGGGGCTACCGCTGGTGCACGCGCAAATGGCCCAGCGCAACCAGCTGGCGGCGCAGCAGCGCATGAAAAGCGGCGCGCCCTCCGAGCAGTATGCCGACACCCTGGAGCAGTTGTTCAACGCGCTCAACCCTGAATCTGGCCCCCCCGGCATCGCGCGCACCTTTACCGACGTAGCGTCCCGCCTGCCCGCTGTGCAAACCCTGGACCGCCAGGCCCAGGCGCTGCAGCAAGAATGGCAAACTCTGCGCAACACTTGGCAAACCGCAGGTGTGGAAGGCAGCGTGCTAGACCGCCAGCTCGCCCAGGAAGCCGTCTTCCTGGACAAGCATGAACAACTGGTCAAGCGCATCGAAGCCGTGCAGGCAGGCGGTAGCGGCCAGACTGCCGCCCTGCAGGTGCTCAAAGAGTTTGTGGACGCAGAAGCCCCCCGCAAAACCCATCTGCCCGTCAACCTGAACAAGCTGCCCTGGCAGGCAGAGCGTGCCCGCCCCCAAGCGCCCATCCAGGTGGATGCCTCCGAAGCAGAGCAGCCCGCAGCCGCCGCCAAGGCCGCTACCGTGCAAAGCACCAAAGCCGCCAGCGCCCCCAGCGCAGCCGATTTGGCGCCCACTGTGGAAGCCCCCCATACCGACGCCATCAAATCCCTGGCCCAAACCCTGGGCCACAACCCCCACAAGATCTACCAGTGGGTGCACGACAACATCTACTACGTGCCCACCCAAGGCAGCGTACAAGGTGCGCAAGACACGCTCGACAAGAAATCCGGCAACGCCGTCGACACCGCCAGCCTGCTGATTGCCCTGCTGCGCGCGAGCAACATCCCCGCGCGGTACGTTACCGGCACCGTAGACATCCCCACCGCCCAGGCCCTCAACTGGGTGGGCGGCGCGCAGACCGTAGACGCAGCCCAACAAATCTGGGGCCAAGGCGGGGTCAACAACGTTGCCCTGGTCTCGGGCGCACAAACCAAAGCCCTGCGCATCGAACACACCTGGGTCGAAGCCCTCATCCAATACCAACCGGGCCGAGGCACCCGCCACACCCCCGGCCAAAGCACCCCCGACACCTGGGTGCCGCTGGACGGCAGCTTCAAGCAATACACCTTCAAGCCAGGCATGGACTTGGCCACTGCCGTACCCTTGGACGCCCAGGCCCTGCTCAGCGCAGCCCAGCAAGGCGCAGAAACCAACCCGGCCGAAGGCTGGGTGAGAAACCTCAACACCACAGCCCTGCAAAGCCAGCTCAGCAGCTACCAAGCCCGCCTTAAAACCTACATCGACAGCCAAAACGCCGGCCAAAGCACCGTAGGCGACGTGCTGGGCCAAAGAACCGCCACCATAGACCCCATGCCCTACCTGGCAGGCACCTTGCCCTACAGCATCAAAACGCGCAGCCAAACCCACAGCGACCTGCCCGCCAGCAGCAAAGCGCAGTTCAAATACGAAATCTACGCAGACGCCCGCAGCGCCGCCTGGGGCGACAGCCCCCTGCTGAGCTGGAAAACCCCCACCGCCGCCATCGCTGGCAAAAAGATCACCCTGGCCTGGGTAGCAGCCAGCGCCGCCGACGAAGCAGCCATTGCCGCGCTCATTCCCAAGCCCGCTCCCGGCCAACAGCTAGACCCCAGCCAACTGCCCCGGGGCCTGCCCAGCAGCATCCACCTTAAGCCCCAAATCTCTGGTAGACGGCACCGTGGTAGCCACCGGCCCCGGCATGCGCGCAGGCAGCGAACCCGTAGGTCAAGGCGGTTTTACCCGCTATGGACAACAAGACTGGGATGAAACCCAAGACCAGCTCATTGCAGGCCAACAAACGGCACTGGGCGTAAGCATCCAAGGCATCAGCCAAGCCCAGCTGGAAACGCTGAGAGCCCGGATGAAGGTGAATGAGCAGAAGCTTGAACAAGCGCAGGCCGCTCCTGAAGCGCAGCGGGCGGCCATCTTGCAAGGCATGACTGGCGAAAATTTGACGGGGGATCTGCTGACAGGAACGATGTGGAGTTACTTCGCCAGCCTGCAGAGCCACGGCGCAATCGCCAGCGCCCAGGCCCAAATGATCGACCGGCCAGCCTTGAGCTACGGCCTGTTCCACGCCCAGGTCAAACCCAACAAGCTGTATGGCATCGTGACCACGGGCATTACCTTCCAAGGGCTGAACATGGACATCGGGCACCTGCGGCACACCCGGTGGGTCAAGAATGACGATCCCCAGGCGGCGATCAACGCCAAACCGGAACTCACCGCAAACGGCAAAACTGCAGCGCAAAACCGGTGGATTGCGTACAACAAGCTGCGGGGGCAATACAGCAGCGCCATGGAGCACGCGGTGCCCGAACAGCTGTGGGTGGACAAAAGTCAATGCCGGTACACGGATGAGCAAGGGCAAATCAGCAACCCCACGCTGGCGGAATGCGCGCAAGGGATCAGCGCAGTGAATGCCATTGCAATCGCCCAAGCTGCAGGCCAGCGCATCTACACCATCAACCAAAGCAACGCAGCTACTGCCTTGCCCAGACTGCCGCTTGGCGGCACAGTGGGACAGGAGATTACTTCGGCTGTCCAGGCAGGCAAGGAAGTGACATTCCATGAACGTGCGATTAACGCGCATGGATTTTCGGGGTACGGGTATGTGATAACGGACCCGGAAACGGGAGCTGGGGCCTACATGATCGAGGGCAGGGGTAATGGTGGGTGGATGGATTTGGTGAACTGGGTGAAAGATAATCCAGGGTGGTCCGCAATTGCTGCCTTGGTCTTGGGAATAGTGGCAGGGATTGGGGGGTGGCTTGGTGCAATTCTGTTGTTGATGTCTTTTGTTATTTCTGCTATTTCTATCTACCACGACATGATGGCGATCGCGAATGCGGAATGTGGTGTCCTTGGCTTGCAAGCATTGTTTGGGGCGCTAACTGCTATTGTGTTCGGGATCGGTCTGCTTGGAGGTGCGGTGGGTGCTGCGATTGCATTGGCAATAGCTGGATATCTCATTTCGGCTCTTTATGCTGATGTGGCCGGTGCTATTAAAAGAATACCTGGTGTCTGCTGATGATAGTTTTATCGGTGATAATATGGATTTTGAATTGTGCCTATGTTTGGTATTTCAATCTCTATGATTTTGCATATTATTTAATTACGGCTTTTGTGTTCTTTGTGCCATGTGTTGATTTGCTTGAAATAGTCGGAAGGGCCTTGGGGAAAGGCGGGATGAGGAAAATGTGGGCCATAAATGGATTGGGTCTGATCTTCGGATTGTGGATATCCTCAGGAATTGCGTTGACATCCTTCAGAATTAATGGGGATGCATATTTTTTTGACATGATTTATCTGCCGTGGGCGCTTGGATTTTTCATTGCCTTTTATTTTGTTGTGAATTTCTTTCTATTTTCTCGAAAATTGGTGTTGTGGAGTCGCAAAGGATGGCCTTCATAACTCCATGCGGTCTGTGATGGAGTGGGCTCGGGCGGTTTACACCACCTCCGGCTCGCGAGGGTTATGCAGGCCGTCCTAAAAAGTTCTTCAAACACCGCGTCGTGACCATCGGCTTCAGCCTCCAAGATCAGCTTCAAAAGGACTTTGAGCAGGCTCTCAGGGCCTGAACATGGACATCGGGCACCTGCGGCACATTCGCTGGGTGAAGAACGATGATCCCCAGGCGGCAATCAACAACAAACCGGAACTCACCAGCAAACGGCAAGACCGCAGCGCAAAACCGCTGGATTGCGTACAACAAGATGCGCGGGCAATACAGCAGCGCCATGGAACACGCCGTGCCAGAACAGTTCTGGGTGGACAAAAGCCAATGTCGGTACGCGGATGAAACCGGAACCATCAAGAACCCAACCCAAGCAGACTGCGCGCAAGCAGTCTCAGCGGTGAAAGCCATCGCCATAGCCCAGGCAGAAGGCCAACGCATCTACACCATCAACCAGAGCAATGCAGGCACGGCATTGCCCAAACTGCCGGTGGGCGGCACAGTGGGGCAAGAGATTGCATTGGCCGTGCAAGCCGGCAAGGAAGTGACGGTGCACGAGAGCCAGATCAATGCCCATGGGTTCACGGGGTATGGGTACATCATTACCGACCCGGAGACGGGGGCGGGGGCTTACATGATTGAGGGGAGGGGGAATGGGGCTGTGCTTTTCATTGCGATAGGGTTAATTTCGTTTGCGTTTCCTCCCCTTTGGTTTGTTATGGCAGTTGGTGTCTATTCGATTGCCACATTTGCATCCCTCGCTGTGCTGGTTGCCGCAATGATCTATGGCGTCTTAAGTTATATAAAAACTTTGGAAAAAATATTGAGTCAGGAAAACTTGTCTCAGACGGAGAAGGATGGTGTTATAAAGGCTATATCAGCATTGGTTGTGTTTTCAAATATATTGGGTGGGGTAAAGGGTGCCACGGAAAAGGGTGCTGCATGGGCTGCAGCGGGCCTTGCGATACTGTCGACCGTTTTGCAGCAGGCAGTAGGCTATTTGGTTATCGCTATAGATGTTCTACGTGAGGCGAAAAAAAGAAAATTTCAGATGAAATGATGATTAGAATTTTTTCTGGAGTTGTGATTGTTTCGGATTTGTTATTTTCGTCATTTGTATTTTTTTGCGGGGCTGTTTTTTTTGTGTTTGATGGTGCGGTTGCTCGCCATTTTTTGCTTGCCGGATTAATGGGTTTGATAGTTGGCGTCGGATATTTTTATACTTTAGGAGTGCTGACCAAAAGGATGTCAATCGTTGACAATTTGCTTGAGGATAAAACCTCGAAAAAATTTTGCCTTTT